CTCAGCCTCTGCTCTACCCCAATGATTTTTTTCTCTCCAAAATATATTCCATGTCTAGTCACCTCTTGCATTATCCATTTCTATCACCCTTGTACAAGCCAATGTCACCTTTTGTGTAGACAACAGAGGGTAATATCCCCCTAACTCTTCTCCCTGTTTCTTCTCCAGTATCTTGACAATTCATTTTCCTCACAGCAGCCACACACAAAATGCCTAAAGTGATAAGCTGGTGACACTGTCCTCTTGATTAACTCTCTAATGACATTTGATTTGCAATTAGAACAAAATGTTTAACCTGGTTTACAAGGTTCTACATTATCAAACACTGGTGGACCTCTGATCAACCTTGTATCGTTGTCTTTACCTCTAAGTATCCCATCACATGTACCTCTCCACATCTCAAATATGTCAAGCTTGTGCCTCTGTGATAGCCATTCCCTCTGCCCCAAATACTCACTCACCCCTCTAGTAATTACATTACCATCTCTTACTCACTACCTAGCTTTCATCTCAAATATCACCTTCACCACCTAATCTAATGTAGTGAGCAGATCACACGTTACCATATCTTCAAATTTTACATTCCTGTAGAATACTTAATATTATCAGATAATTTCCTTTTTTTTCTTTAATCGTTCATGTTCATCTCTCTGCCCACTAGGAAGAATAAACCCTATGAGAACAGACACAAGGACTGTCTTGTCAGTGTATTTGTCAGTGCCTAAAACAGGATTTGGGAGCTCTGGTAGCCTAGTGGCTAAAGCACTTGACTGCTAACCAGAAGGCTGGCGGTTCAAACCCACCAGCCACTCCTCGGAAGGAAGGTTGGGCAATCCTACTTCCGTAGTGATACTGCCCCGGAAACCCAAGGAGGAGTCGCTATGAGTCGGGGCCTACTCGACGGCACATAACAACAACAACAACAAAACAGGATTTGGCACACAGAATGCACTCAACAAATATTTGTTGAATTCATACATTTTTACCAGAATCATTCATTTAAATTCTAACTTGCTTTCAAGAGCATCCCAAAGACAGATGTATGTCTTACGCATTTTTAGGTACCTCAAAGTACTTAGAAACTGCTTTACAACTACCAGGGAATTAATAAATTATGTTGTTGTTGTTGTTGTTATGTACCGTCAAGTCAGACCCAACTCATAGTGACCCCTCCTTTGGGTTCCCGAGGCAGTATCACTACAGAAGTAGATTGCCCAACCTACCTTCCGAGGAGTGGCTGGTGGGTTTGAACAGCCAGCCTTCTGGTTGGCAGTCAAGTGCCTTAGGCACTGTACTACCAGAGCTCCTTAATAAATTATAGATTGTTAATAAATGACTATATTTGAGGAATGAAATGAAAATCTAACATGATACTTGTTGTTGTTGTTATTATGTGCTGTCAAGTCGGACCCAACTCATAGCGACCCCTCCTTGGGTTTCCGAGGCAGTATCACTACAGAAGTAGATTGCCCAACCTTCCTTTAGTCTAACAAAAATTATTTTAAAAACCGTAGTAAGAATAACTCTACTTGTCCCAGTTAGAATGGGAGAGAAATGCAAAACAAAACTCAAATCCATAAAAAAGGGTAGACTTACTGGACTAGTAGAGATTGAAGGAATCCCTCCAATACTCTGGCCCTTTAACTTGGAATGAATCCACTCCCAGGGATCACCTTTCAGCCAAATAATACATTGGCTCATAAAATAAACAATAATACCCAAGAAGAAAGTGCTCCTTAGAACAATCAACTAGTCAAGACCAAATGTCAGTATTTGACCAAGAGCAAAGATGAGAAGGTGAGGAGGAGCAGGGAAACAGGGAAGGCAGGGTGGTGACAGGTCTGACACTGCAGAGAGAGAAAGCAGGGGGTGGGCATGGTGGGAGATAGCAACCAGTGTTATGGAACAATTTGTGCATTAATTATTAAACAGGAAACTAATTTACTGTGTAAAATTTCACTTAAAACACAATAAAATGTTAAAAAAAAAAAAAGAATAACTCTACCTGAATCTCTCCCAAGAGTCCTCCAGTTCGCTCCAATACCAAAGATAAAATCATTGTGGAATTGGGGTTAAGAATAGAAATTTTGCTTTGATTGAGAAATCTTACAACCCCAAAGGGAGAGTCACTCTTGGCAATGGTGATTCTGCTCAGTAGGTGGCGCCCAAGGACTGCTCCACCAGTAGCTCCAGCAAGCAGAATTTCAATGGGCTCGTCAAAGTCACTGCATACCAAGATTAGAGCAATTCTGTGACTCTAAACATATTAAAATGCCTCTAAAATCCAAATAACTAGTAATTCCCAAATTTGTCATACATATTCAAAGAACAGTAGTCACACACCAAGTAGTAAGTAGAGGGTGCTTGGCTAAAAGCATGAATGATCAACATCAATATTATATAATCTGAAAACAGTTATTAGTTTTTCCATTCCCCCACCCACCTCTTTTAATTGCTTAGTACATTAAGGAAAGGAATTGAAGAATGGTTCCACATTCTGATTAAAGTTTTACAAATCTAAAGGAATAGAAGCTATTTCTTCTACTAAAAAAAAAAAAAAAGTGGCTTATGCAACCACAACAACCTCCCAGCGCCTCTTTTCCAAAGATCAGCACCCCACAAAAAAATTTCTCATTTGTTTCTCCTCATTGGGAATATGGATTATTTAAAACTTTGAGGAAAGATGTATATAAGTGCTGTTTTTGTTGTTATGTGCCGAGTTAATGATCTACTCATAGTGACCCTATGTGACAGAGTAGAACTGTCTTATCAGGTTTTCTAGGCTGCAATTTTTATAGGAGCAGATCACCAGGTCTCTTCTCCTATGGAGCTGCTGGGTGGCTTCGAACCACCAACCTTTAAGTTAGCAGCAGAGTACTTAACCATTGTGCAACCATGGCTTTTGTGTTTTCTATATGTTCATAATATTTTATTTTCTGTTATTACCTTTCATCATCATCAATGATGGAGACATTTATAAAACTTAAGTTCTGCCCATGTTGAAAAGTAACAGTACTACCATGCAGTAAATAATCAACACCACCAGAAATGGCAGAGGAACTCTGAGAGATGAAATCAGCTGTCACAAGGCCGTAAGTTCCATGAAGTCTCACCACTGGGATCATAATCGTCCCAATATCTTCTTCCACTGCAACAGGAATTTAGAATTAATTAGAAAGTCAGGCAAAGTGACTGTCTTTTATAAGATTTTAGCCAAATTAAACATGGCATTAAAAACCAAGGTACAATGCAAGCACACAATTGTTTTCATAGTTCATTTATCACTTTCAACAAATGATTCGTAAACATTTCATGACTCTTATATTTTGTGAGTAATGTAGTTTATCAAAAGGTCAAAGTTTTAGTGAGCAATATAAGTTAGAATTTAAATAACATATTAAACCACTAGCATAAGCATTCTTCCATTCTTCCTAAATGACCTTTGCTTTCCAAGACAATGCTAGATGAACAGAAATAAAAAAATACTTACATTATGTGTACTCAAAGGAAACCACTCTCTACTGTTTATATATATTTATTTGAAGTGTAAATAAGATAAAAATAAATGAGGCTTATTTATTTATATCATATGAATGTTTTAAAAGTCCAAATATAAATTCTATTAACATTTCCAGTTCCAATGAAATCTACTTGTGAATCTGAAAATGAATCTTCAATGTCTCATTTCAACTTATTTTTTTTTCCAAATTATCTTTATGTCTTCTTAAGTCAAGTTAACCTCTGCATATTAAAGTATCATTTAACAGAATGTACATTAAACTAAAAAAAAAAAGAAAAAAATTAAACTCATTGCCATCAAGTCGATTCCAACTCATGGCTAAATAATACTGAAGTTACATTATAAATTTAAATACACACTGTCCAAAGTTCTCCAAAGATATTCAAGTTCTTCCACAAGTAAGATTCAAGACTATCCAAATATAACTTAAAATACATTTTAAACATAAATATATAAATATATAAGAACCTGTGTATGTGTGTGCATGTCACACACACACATACACACTTCATCTAGTAATTTTATACATAGGAATTTAAACTGGCAACATGACAATGTCATGCTCAGACACTATGTAATTCAGAAAGTGGTAGTACTTACTTATAAGTAAGGGTAACTGAACCTACCTTCAAAGGTAGTATACCTTGGGTCAAATTCAATGATACCCTCTGCATTATCATTTTTCATTATTATGATTCGAACAATGGAAATGTTTCCTATTTCGGGAGGTTGATCGATCTGAAGTCCATTTTCTCGGACAGTAAAATCATACCCTCTTGCAAATTCATGAAAAAGGAAATAAAAGAAGTATGTAATTGCTTAACATGAATTGAAGGGTTCCTTTAGCTCCTAAAATCTAGACTTATTAGGTCTGTTAATCCTTCATAGGATTCCCTAAACTAATATTCCTTTCCTTTTATTGTTTGGAATGATTGCTTTTGAAAAAATTTTCTGTGTTGTTCTCCATTATTACTATCTGCATGAAACCAAAACTGCTATAAAGTTACGACACTTGGGCAGTGGTAAGATGATAAAACTATTAAGAAATAGGGAAGCTGGAGTAAACAATTCCTTGGATTAGGAATACACTCTGAACACCTACTACAGTAATGGGCCAAGAAGGGGAATGTACATTAAGCTACAGTGCACTAAAAGCTAGTAAACCAGCCAGGCTTGAGATTTACAGTTTTAGGTTGAGAAATGATGGATGCCATGCCACTAATTAAATTTCAAGCTAAACCATCAATATTTGAGAAAATATGTTCAATTCTGAGGAAATAAATTATAATCAATGCTTCTCTTCTTTAATGACATATTTCTATAATTTTTCTTTGTTTTGGTTTTTTTTTTTTTAGATAGATACTATTCCCATCAAAAAAATTTTGACTTTCAGAGTTTTATACCATTCTTTAATTCCTAATGGTAAAAAAATGGCACTTAACCATCTTAATTCTTCTTTCAGTTCCCAAATTCTACTTATGTGGTATTTATATTCTTGAGTTCTGAAAGGCTGGAAGATGGTTAGTAAGACTACATATAAGGCAAAATTTTAAAACTAAGTTAAAATATTAAATGGTCAGAGTAACTTTTACCAGGAGTCCAGCTGGGTTGTTGACCAGCAGATTACTATATTGAATACCAAAGCAGTAAATTTTCTAGCAACTAGGCAAAAAAAGGAAACACACTGGATAATACTTTCCTTTTCAGATTAAAAGAAGTCTAGAAATTTCTCTGGAATAAAAAACGTGTTTCCCCAGAATTAAACTTAAATAGAAACTGATTCTGTTCATAACAATATTGAGTAGTAAAGAGGGCAAAATCATCAAGTCTTACTCAAACCAAAAAAAAACAAACTAACTAACTCACTGCCGTGGAGTTGGATCCAACTCATAGTGACCCCTCATTGGGTTTCCAAGGTGGTATCACTATGGAAATAGATTGCCCAACCTTCTTCCAAGGAGTGGCTGGTGGGTTTGAACTACCAGCCTACTGATCAGCAGTCAAATGCCTTAAGCACTACATCATCAGAGCTCCTAAGTCTTACTCAGCCAATAATCCAGATACAGGTCTGCATTTAATGAGCTACTTTTACCAACTTTTATTTAATTAAAGCAATCAGTGACCAGCACAAATTTTAACATATTTTAAATGAATACAAATTCTCTCCTACTGCCATTTGACTCATTTCTGGGAAACCTAAGAATTGAGTGTATATGAACCCACAATATTTATTATCCCCCAAGTGGAATAATATACACCTTACCTAAGTCACTGAATGAAATGTTTTCAATTTAAAAAAAAGAAAAAGAAAGATTTTTAAAGCTTGGCAATTTATGCAGCAAATGATAAACAATTCATGCACTAAAAAAAGTCTTTAGATATTAAATAAATGTAAATATTATTCTATATGAAGGCCCAATCCTCTCAGGTTCTGCATTAATTACTAGTGCAGAGGGGCTCCTCCATCCAAGGGTATTGAAGCATGCTAACGTGTTTGCCACCTTGTCAACAAGGTTCCATATGGTTTATTAACATGATTAAGACAGTGAGAAGGGCTTCATATGCGTAATTACTGATCTTCAGTGAAAACGTGGTACACACAAATGGCCAACTTTCTTTGACTCATGTTTGTTCCCCTGCTTTAAAACTGCTATTGCACAAGTGCCTATCCTCATTCATCTGAAAAGAACACAAAATAGCCAGAAATTCCCTGTCCCAACCTTTTCTTAGGTGTAGAAACTGGGAGAAGCAAATGGTGTCACAGAGCTGACCTTTGACCTAGAGAACAGTTATGCTATTTCCTCTTGAGTTACTACACAACAGTGTCATGTTCAACTCCTGGGCCATACAGAGTGAATCAACACAACAAATACTTTTAATTATGAAAAAATAAAATTATATTTTAGAAAATTGAAAAAAAGAAACGATATTTTGCCTTTGTCATAACTTTCCTATTACATCCTGTAATACATTACATTACATTGCATAAATCTGAGAGCAGGGAAAGAACTATTTTACAGTTTGATAATAATCTCTACACAATGTAGCTCTTTCTTTCTTTCTCACTTTCCCTCCCTCCTTTCCTTCCTTTCTTCCTTCTTCCCTCCCTCTCTCCCTCTCTCTCTGTCCTCTCTCTTTCATTTTTCTAATTTTCTTTTTTACTTTACCTTCCCTGGAGTTCCACCTTTGTAACTGCAAGAGAAAACTCTTCAGGGCCTTCAGGAAGGTCATCGTCAAGTATTTGGATATGCATACTTTTCAGCATCTCCCTTGGTTCAAAGAGAAGCTCCCCTGCCGCAGGAGTAAAATCCAAGCCGGCCTCAGCACTTCCACTCACAGTCTCATACCAGAGCCTCACGAAGCCAAAAGATCCACCCAAACGGATGATTGTAATGTTGACCTACATGAGAGGCATTTTTGGATTTGATTTGGATGTTTAATCTACTGAATACTTAATTTTCATAGTCTCTAATTAATGATTCTCTTTAGTGAAATTATGTTAAAAAATTATATGTCAAAATGATGCTAGAAGCAAACTAATGTGTGAAAACTTTGGAATATGAGCAAGAAAACACTGTATAGATAACTCAAAATATCAAAACAAAAATGGTATTTCAAACTTCAAGCATTTCACTCTATACCCTTTGTGCGTCTTCTGGCACCCACAGCTGTTCATGTGAGAAGGCAAACCGGCCATAAGGAACGTCACTGGCCACCACTGTGATGTTGGCAGTTCTGCTGGATTCACTCAGCACTGCTCCCTCACTGACTCCAGTGAGCTGAAACTCAAAGAAACACTTTTCTTCAGGAATGTCATCACTCATAGCCTAGAGACAGACAAAAAGAGCCATGAACATTTGTGGTAAAGGTTGTGTGTCACCTCCTTGGCTGGGCCCAGTTGAGTGGCTGGGCAGCTGGATGTAGTTATTCCCCATGGTGAGACTGGCAATCAATTCCATGGTGGCATCTACTAGAGCAGCTGAGTAGCTGCTTTAGGGATATGGACTGCTTCCAGTACAGAAGAAGCAGCTTTGAGGAAGGTCTCTAGTTTTTTGGCACACTTGAATCCTGCATGTAGCCAAGTCATTATTCAGCAGTCTGCCACGTTGTCTGCCAATCTTAGGACTGTTAATGGGACTCAAATCAATGGTCTGCCATGTGGTCTGGTAATATCAGGACTGTGCCTTTTTACTTGTCAACCTTGGGTTGTCAGCCTCAGCAGCCAGCAGCTGCCTGAGTGAAGAGATGCCTCTAGCTCCAGTGGGCCAGGAGCAGAGGCAGAGCTGAAGCCCAAGGTTGAGAGGCTTCCACCCAGCCCCTAGAGCCTGGCACTTTGAACTTGGACTTCTGGCCTCCAAAACTGTAAGAGAATAAACTCCTGTTTGTTCAAGCCATTCCCATTTGTGGTATATTCCTGTTAGAGCACAATTAGGTAAACAAAACAACATTATAATCTATAAATTTTTAAAAAATATACCTATTATATGAACAATAACAAACAGTAATAAAAGAAATATATCTATTATATGAACAACAAAAAACAGTAATATTAACCATTGCCCTTCTCTTCTCAACACATACGCACACGTAGAGCAAAGGGAATAACAGAAACCAGTAATTATACCTGTATTAATACAACGGCTGCAGATTGCCCATCTCGCATTGTCAGTTTTCCAGATGTTTCCACAAATTGCCTCTCTGAAGGAGGGAATATTCTCCAGTACATAGTGACCTCCCCTAAAATCCCTGGGCCACGAACAAGGCTACGACAAACAAAAGTTTATTTAATATGTTTTTATTGAAGGAATCTTTCCTAAACATTTTCTGTGTCTTTCAAAAATAAATGAGTTTTATTACTACAAAAATGTTTGTGATTTTAAATAATATCATCTATTAATGTTAAACCAAAAGAAAGTATTATAACTTCAAGACAGTTACACTCAAAGTACTGAGCTAGTATATATCTATCTGGACAAGAACACTGGCAAAAGCTGAATAGTAAAAGTGGAAGGTTCAAAGGAATAAAAAAAGTATTCACAGACTTTTCAAATACGAGGTACAAAACGTGACTAGTCTGACAAAGTTCTCTAAAGGACAGTAAACACTTCATACATGCATATGCTAATAGAAAACCAATGAAAAAGATAAAGTAATAAGTCAAATCCAACTATTTGATTTATAGCTGCCCCTCATAAGAAAAGCTGAGGTAAGCAAATTGGTCTGTGGTCAAAACAGGTATATGACAAGGATCTAATTTTAGAACACTGAGAATCATAAAATGTTGACAATACTCTACAGAATGGCTTTGCAGCTAAAACATACAAGCTTTATAGAGATAAAGTAATGTTCTTATTTCACATAGTTAGAAATGAGGCTTAAAGCATAGATTTGATCTCTACTCAATATGCTTTCCTCTGCATAGACTGCACAAATGACTCCACAAAAGTCAGGAACCTTCTTATGATCGCACTTCAAAGTAAACCAGTTGCCATCGAGTAAGTTCCACCTCATAGTAACCCCATGGGTCAGAGCAGACCAGCTCCCCACAGGGTGTCAGTTGCTGATTTTTTGGATGAGATTGCCAGGCCTTTTTCCAAAGTACTTCTGGATAGACTCAACCCTCCAATCTTTGGGTTAGCAGCTGAATGTGTCAATCTTTTATACCACCCAGGGACTCCAATTTCAGGATAGATCAGAATATTTTTTTCAATGTCTGTCAAAAGTCTGTTTTACTTTCCACAGGATGTAATTAACACATAAAACGATAATGCTTAAAGACTATATAACTATTGAAAACAATGTATTCAAAGCATAAAAATGCTAATAATTTAAACAAAACCCCATTACCCAGAAAGAGTGGGATAAAAATGAGGAACAAAACTCAAAACTGTAAAAAAAAATGACCAGGTTTGCTGGTCTGATAGAACCTGGCAAGACCCCTGAGACTATGATCCCTAGCCACCTTCAGGTCTGGAATTGAACTCTCTCCTGTGGCTTCCAGCCAAACACAGACAAGTATATATAAGAGTGAACATTTACATGAAATAGATACACTCCTCAGAGTGATTAATCATGGGAGAATAGAAGGGCAGTGTTTACACAGGGAGACATGTCAGGGGGCAGAAGTGCATGGGAGGGAAGGACACAGGAAAGAGGTAACTACGGGGAGGAAGTAGGAAGAGAGCTGTTACACTGTGGGGAATTGTAGTCAATGTCATGAGACAAAATGCATATGAACTGCCATATGGAAAATGACTTTGCTCTGAAAACTTTCACCCAAATCACAACAAAAATTAAATTAAAACAAAAAACTCCATTACCCCTACCAAGGTGCGGTAGTTAAGGTGATGTGTCAACTGGTCTTGGCCTGGTTTTAAGTGGCTGGGCACCTGGATGTAGTATTCCCTATGATAAGACTGGTAACCAACTCCATAGTGGAATCTACTATGAGCAGCTGAGTAGCTTCCTTATGGATGTGGTCTGCTCCCAATATGTAAGGAGAAGCTTTGGGAATGGTCTGTAGTTTTTGGCACCCTTCAATCCTGCATGTAGTCAAGTCATTGTTCAGCAGCCTGCCATGTTCTCTGCTGATCGTGGGACTCTTAATGGACTTGAACCAATGGCCTACCATGTTGTTTGGTAATATTGGGACTGTGTCATTTTTATTTGTCAGCCTTGGGCGTGTTAGCCTCTGTAGCCAGCAGCTGCCTGAGTGAAGGGATGCCTCCAGCTCAATGGGCCAGGAGCAAGAGACAGAGCTGAAGCCCAAGGTTGAGGGGCTTTCCACCCAGCCCCTAGAGCTTGGCACCTTAAACTCAGACTTCCAGCCTCCAAAATTGTAAGAGAATAAACTCCTGTTTGTTAAAGCCATCCACCTGTTGTATTCCCATCAGAGCCAGCACTAGAGGTAACCAAAACACAAGGTAAAGAAAAATCATGGAGCCCTTACCTGATTATAGCAGTGCCATTATATTTGGCTGAAGGTTCCCCAATGAGGACACTCCTAGATGATGGAGCTATCCCAACTTCTCCTGACAGGCCTGAATCTCCCCGAATGATTATTGATGCACTTCCTAAATTGAAGATGATGTATACCACGTATGTAATAAATTCATGTATGCACTCATATATACCAGGCAATATTCTAAGAGCTTTACAGATACTATTTAATCCTTCATGATAATCACATAAATTAAGTATGAACATTATCACCATTTTGCTGATCAGGACATAGAGGCACATAAAGGCATTGAGGACCCTGAGGCAAGTGAGCCCAAGATCACACTTTACTGATGCTTTAACAAAAGGGATAAGAAAGTGTGGGTATCAGTTCTATTATCACTGTTATGGATTGAAGTGTGACGCCAATATGTGTGTTGCAAATCCTAACCTCTATGCCAGTGATCACAATCCTATTTGGGACAAGGTTGTGTTTGTTATATTAATGAGACAGAATTGGTGCAGGGTATGTCTTAAATTTATCTCTTTTGAGATATAAAAGACATTAAACAAGCAAGTGAGAGAAGCAGATATAGGGGAAGGGAGACGCCAAGCCACATAAAGATCACCCAGGAGCAAAAACTCAAACAGACAAGGACCTTCCTCCAGAACTGACAGAGACTTCCAGACTCCTAAACTGTGAATAAATAAACTTCTTTTTGTTAAAGCCACCCACTTGTGGTTATTTCTATTTTAGCAGCACTAGATAACTATGACAATCACTCACATGATAACCGAGTTCTCTACCATTTGCATTCATTCATTTCTACATATTATAGCTCAGTTTCAATTGGCTATGTCAGAAAAGTAAGAATTCTTAGGAGCACTTTTATGATTATTTCTGACTCTACCATTTGTCCACAAGAATTTATAAAAAGATGTCAATTATTTCTATAATCACTTTACTATCTAAAAGCATATGACTGAAATGGAAATAAAAACTGTAGAGTAGTCTGGGTAATCATATTATAATTTAGTTGTAATGTGAAGAAAGTTGTTTCCAGAATCAGAGATTAGGTTTTCCATATATTTGTGCTCTCCTAACACTAGATTTCTGTACTCTCCTTTTCTTCATGAAATCATGAATAGTTTATCACACCTAAGTATGTTGGAAGGAGGTTGGGCAATCTACTTCCGTAGTGATACCGCCTCAGAAACCCAAGGAGGGGTCGCTATGAGTGGGGTCCGACTCAATGGCACACAACAACAACAGAAGTATGTCACAGTCAGATGGAAATACATTTTGACTGTTTATATATATATATATAGAGAGAGAGAGAGAAAACATTTGCCCTAATCCATTTACATAGTCTTGTTATTGTGTCCAGCCTTTTGGTTTTCAGTCAAATATGCCTTAGGCACTACGCCACCAGGGCTCCTTGTGTCTTAGATAGCCTAAAGGATATCTACCCTGTTTTTTCAACTTAATGTAACAACTTAGCTTATTTAAAACTTAGAGAAGGATATATGCAGTGTTATGATTTCCTAACCAGCTTGGTGATAAGTTGTCTTACATAAAATTGCAGAAAGAATAACAACCACATATACATACAGTAATACATGCTGCATTTTGGGAATCTCCTTGGCCACCAACTTCTGCTTTTGGTCACCACCCCCTGCATAGGATGAAGTTCATGGTGGCATAAAAGGCATATAGCAGCCCTCATACCAAAGTTTCTTGGACATTTTTTGTGGTTATTATCATCTGTAGCACAATAAGACCATTTTTGAAACCATTTATCTTCTCTCAGATCCAAGAAACAACTTTATCATATGGACGACAGGCCATTGAGAATTATGATGCTTGTTTCTGAAATGTCAAAATCTAAGTAACTACTTTCAGATGAAAATAGGTACAGATGGGGTGAAATATTAAAATGCTAAATATGTTGTGGTTGTTATATGCTGTCGAGTTGGACCTGACTCACAGTGATCCCTCCTTGGGTTTCCAAGGCAGTATAGCTATGGAAGTAGATTGCCCAACCTTCCTTCAGAGGAGTGGCCAGTGGGTTTGAACCTCCAGGCTTCTGGTTACTAGTCAAGTTCCTTAGGCACTATGCTACATGCTAAATTTTAAAATAACTTATAAAAGTAATCTGTGATCTTTGCAAACATGTTCAGAAAATACAAGTAATTAATAATCACTATTAACACTTCAAATAAATAATTTCAAGCACATGAATAACATGTATGACAAAAATGGCATTATATTGAACATATTGCTATGATCCTCACTTTATTAACATAGTAATTATCATGTAACTAAATGTTCTTAACTTTAATGTAATTAAGGATTACTTTGCTACCTCACTTTGAATGGTTGTATACCATTCTGTCATATTTAACCAATCTCTTATTGTTGGACCTTTTAAGAAACTTCCATATTTTATTCAGTAACCATTGTCACAATGAACATTTTTATTTAAAAAAAAAAAGCACTAAGTTAAAATTTTTGACCTATAATCTTACTAGCACTGGGTAATAAAATTCTAAAAACTTTTCACCTATAATATGGATGGAAAACAATTATCTTTGTGTTTTAATTTTATAACATGCAAACTCTGGAAGAACTATGAAACCTAAAGCTGCCCATCTTTGTAACTATTGATTATTTGCTTATATTTTTCTGGGTATCTACTGTTTTCTCAAAATGTAAATTTTTCTTACCTTTCTCTGGAGATATTTCTACGTCATCAGCTGGTATCAGATGAATGATGAAATGCCTGTCCCCTTCCAACACAGTATCATGAAGTGTGTGCAACACAATGGTCTTCTGGGACTCAGACTATACCAAATTAGAGAACAATAAATATTCCAGACTGACTTAAGCCAAATTTGGAATTCATACAAGAAGATTATTGTTTATGTTCATAAGTATCTCCTTAAGTGTATCTTTTTTTTTATCTTAAAGAAGTATGGTTTTCTTTTAGAGGGAATTACTATTTAAAAATTTTGTCTGAACATAAATCACATTTAGGTTTTTAATGGGAAAAGGTAAGAAAAGTTTTAACACAATCCCCTTGTATTAAAGGGAATTAAATTGTGTCCCCTCATAATATGGGTCAACTTAGCTTGGTCGGCCATGATTCTCAGTGGCTTGGCAGTTATGTTATGATGTCATTTGGCAGTTATGTAATTAAGTAATCATCTCCTAATATGTGGTCTGATATGATCAGTCAATCAGTTGTAAGGGGATTGAAGTGGGATGCAACAGCCTTACTTGGGTCACAGGCCTGATCTGACATAAAGGGAGTCTCCCTAAGGTATGGCTTACGTCACCCTTTATCTCACTTAGAAGATAAAAGGTGAGAGAAGTGAATTGAGGAAAAGGGGACATCCATACCATCAAGAACGAAGAGCCAGAGCAGAGCATGGCCTTTGGACCAGGAATCCTGCACTGAGAATATATTAGACTCAAGTGAAGGTTGAAGCCAAGATACATAGAGATCTCCAAGGAATACCAGGCCCACAGATGTTCAAGGGAGATAAGGACCTTTCCCAAGACCAAAAAAAGAACCCAAACTCACTGCCATCGAGTTGATTTTGACTCATAGCAACCCCTCCTCAGATTTCTGAGGCAGTATCTTTACAAAAGTAGATTGCCCAGTCTTCCTTCCAAGGAGTGGCTGGTGGGTTTGAACCACTAGGCTTCTGGTTAGCAGTCAAGTGCCTTAGGCACTACACCACCAGAGGTCCCAGACTTCACAGAAAATAAGCCTCCTTAGAACTGCTGGCCTAAATTTGGACTTCTAGACTCTTGAACTATGAGAGAATAAATTTCTGTTTGTTAAAGCCATTCACTTGTAATATTTAAGTTCTGAGGATCTACTGTTTAATTTTCCAAAATGTAAATTTCAATTGTGCAGTACTGGATAACTTAAAAAAACTGCCATTGAGTCAATTCTGACTCATAGCAACCCCCATTAAGTTTCTAAGGCTGTAAATCTTTACAGAAATAGATTGTCTCATCCCTCCCATGGAGCAGCTGGTGGGTTTGAACCACTAACCTTCTGGTTAGCAGCTAACTGCCTTACCCACTATACCACCAGAGTTCCTTACTAGATATCTAAGTCACCCCTAAATTCACTGAAAATTTTTAACCATTGAAAGTCCAATCTTTTAAAGAGAGGTAAATGTTCATAGCATGATGTAAATGAGATAAGGGTCACAGAATTATTAATTATAAAGGACAATTGTTATTGTTGTTAGGTGCCATTGAATCCACTCCAACTCCGAGCAATCCTATATGAAAGAGTACAACTGCCCCATGGGGTTTTCTAGGCTGTTATCTTTACAGGAGCAGATTGCCAGCTCTTTCTTCCAAGATGTTGCAGGGTGGTTTGAACCACTAACATTTCAATTAGCAGCTGAACGCTTAACTGATGCATCACCAGGGCTCACTTAGCTCCATTCAAAGGAGAAAACAAAGTACTGATGATTTTGAAACAGTTTTAGGTTCAATTGACCATGCTGAGGAGGAGGCCTGCTGCAGACCCAACTCATCACATGCCTTGCTTATGGTAAGTTAGTGATGGCACCTTCCTAGTTAATAAAAATGTGTCTGAAAGCAGCAGTAAGGGGGTCTAACTCAGTCTTTTTATCTGACAACCTACACAAAAATGTATATCCATTTCAGTTTTCCTTTGCCTTCCCTTTCAAAATTTTATTTTGCTTTGTTTTCATATGGATTCTGCTTGCTTCTTGCTAAATTCATACCTAGTTATCTTATGCTATTTTTACCACTCATTGTTACAAAATCATAGGAAAGCTATTGATTTTATTTAAATTTCTTTTCCTTGGACTTCAGGTGCATAGACTTTGGATGATACTAGCTCTGTCTTCTATTGCGTAGTCTCCATCAAACAACACATGGCTTGTCTTGATTTTTCTTTTTTTTTTTTTTTTGTCCCCTATGTTGCTGTTTGTTGCCCTGAGTCAGTTCTGATTCATGGTGACCCTGGGTATGCAGATTAGAACTGTGCTCTGTATGGTATTTAAGGCTGTGAACTTCTGGAAGCAGATCACCAAATCTATCTTCCAAAGCATCCATAGGGAGGGTAGGTTTGAACCACCACCACTTGGCTCGTATTCAAGTACATAATCATTTGTGCCACCCACCCAAGGACCTTGTCCCTTTTACCTATCCATTTCAATCCCATCCCCCAAAATTCTCCCCACCCTCTCATTCACTCTTAAATACATCCTATCCTACATCTTAATTTTCCACTCAATATACATTGTTTAGGAGCTCTGGTGGTGAAGTGCCTAAGGCACTTGACCACTAACCAGAAAGTCAGCAGAAGGTAGTTCAAACCCACCAGCCACTCCTCAGAAGGAAGACTGGGAAATGTACTTCCATAAAGATACCACCTCAGAAGCCCAAGGAGGGGTCACTATGAATCAGAATCAACTCGATGGCAATGAGTTTGGTTGTTTATACATTGTTTAGACTATTTGCGTTTGCATATGTTGATATAGTTCACTCTTTTCATCCTTGTGAGGACTGTACTATTTGCATTAACACTATAGGTAGTTCCTGACTTAAGTCGTGTCTTAGTTAGTTACTATGAACTGCACTTACTGAGTCTTATAACTCTCTGCTTTTTCTTTCTTTTTTTTCCATATTGTACTTTTACTAATATATATTACATCCAATGTTGTAGAGGTAATTTGCTGATGCTATAATCCTCAAATGTTCATTCCTAGATGTTCAATTTTATGATTTGCTGTTCAAAACACTGCCATACAGATTTAGTTTTCTGAACTAAATCAAGGGCTTCAGTTGCTTGAAAACAGGGACTCAAACACCGATCACTTTGCAAAAGTCAATAGGAAGATTCAGAAAGCAGTGAGACACTACCGCAAAATATATGAAGAAAAAAAGAAATGAACTATACATACAACTCTAACTTTCTGACTAGAAATGCCATGTTCACTCCTAGGAATAATCTAGATAATCCAGAACCTTCCACAAATGGAATTCATTACCACAACTGGCAAAATGCCAATATCATTTAACTCTTCTTCATTGTTAGCATAAATTTTCATGGTGTATGTATTTTTTTTGTACATATGCATGCATTAAAATATATCTAAATTTATTTGTAATGTTTACAATCCTTAAAGACAAGGATCAGATTATAAAGATATTGATAATAAAAGGTAATGATAATGAAAAAAAAGTGAAGTATTCAACTTACGTCAGAACCAACTTAACACGGAATAGTCAGAAATGAAGCCCATTAAAATTTGGGGACTACCTGTATTTGAATTACTTGTCTAATAAAAACTAACCCCAAAAAAACTCACTGCCATCAAGTCAATTCTGACTCATAGCAATGCCCGTTGATTTTGCAACACTGTAAATCTTTACGGAAGCAGACTGCCCTACCTTTCTTCTGTGGAGTGGTTGGTGGGTTCAAAACACCAACCTTTTGGTTAGCAGCCAAATATCTTAACCAGTACACCAGGCAGAGCTCCTTGTCTGAAAAAGGCTATGTGCTATTAGAAATAACTTTGCCATGAATATTACTATACATGAGTCTTTACATATATAATAATTTCTCAAAAGTGCTATTTATTTTACATACTTTATATTTCTCTCATGTAAGACAGTATTTCACAACATATGATTTCCATTTCTCCAAAACACTTACAATCAGTAGTAGGAAAAAACTAGATGATTTCAGGTAGTAATTCCAATGATTTTAGAGCAATTGCTATAAGCTAATAATTAATGTACTTGGATTAAAAAAAAAAGGTGGGGAAGTCTCATGGGGGAATAAATTCAGAAAATGCAGAGTGCTAGTTTCTATGATTAGAGATTCATAAGGTACATAAGTATTTTTAAAATTCTAAACTCTCTCGAACACAACCTACTTAGATTAACCAAGATTTTCCCCAATGTTACTGAATATGGAATCTTTTATTTCTCTAAAGTTTAGAACAAGTATTACTATTCTACAGAAACATAAAGCAGCAGTGTAGGAAATGATACTTTAGGCATTCTCAGGAAAAGATAAATATAAATTGATTCATAATTTTTTTTTGAAATCCTAAGCCCTTAATTTTTAAATTACACAATGTAGAAAAAGAGTTGAGCTTCACTATATTAAGTTGAGGTAGCAAACTATTAAAACAAAAACCAAACCCACTGCCACTGAGTTAATTCCAACTCACAGAGACCCTATATGACACAGTTGAACTGCCCATGGGGTTTCCAAAGAAGTAAATCATTTTTCTGTTGTTGTTGTTAATGAAAGAAAAAAGAAGGAAGGAAGAAAAAGAGGGATGGATAGCAGGAGGAAAGAAAGAGGGAAGGTACTTTCTACTTAGATTTTTTTTTTTTTTTTTTTTTTTAATGATGGGGGTGAATGTTTACAAAGCAAATTCATTTTCTATACAGCACCTCATATACACTTTGTCTCATGACACGGACTGCCATTTCCCACAATGCAATAGCTCCCCTCCCATTTCCTTCCCATAGTTATCTCTTCCCTGTGTCCTTCCCTCCCACATACTCCTGCCCCCTGAGCTGTCTTCCTGTGCATACACAGCCCTTCCATTCTCCAATGATTATTCTCTCCAAGGAGTGTATCTACCTAATGTAAATGTTCAGCTGATAGGCCTGTCTTTTGTTTGGCTGGAAGCAACAACAGTGGGTTCATTTCCAGACCTGAAGGGCAGCTTCCAACTACAGTCTACTTTATGGAAACAGACTGCCTCATCTTTCTTCTGCAGAGCAAAAGATTGGTTTGAACCACCAATCTTCAGTTTAGCAGCCGA